CTTTCACTTTCATTATTCAGTACTTTACCTACTTGTTTAAGTTTAATACAGACACGATACAATATTAAAACTAATACACATAATGAAACACTGGTATATGGATTTGTTAATCATGTTTTGTTAACTAGCTTCTGCCCGCGACTTCGTACGCGCAATCCCGTTTCTCTCATTCCCGTAGGATTTTCAGGACTTTTTTCTGTCATAAGAACCTTCTCCTGACGATAACAAACACAACAACGAAAAAAAAAATAGACGAATCGGTCTAGCCGTTCTCAAGTTATGGTGTGACAGCGGGAAACGGGTTTCATTTTTATATATAGTATTATTAGTAATTGGTAAGCGATGATGCGGCTAAATGAATGTCAGTTATGACGAAAATGCCACTGATTAGGTAAGTCGCCTTCAGGGCTGCGCAGAAACGCAAGGAGTTACGAGAGTCTGGCTCGAAGGAGGAGTCGAAACGGCGTGGTTTTTAGTCAGTAAGAGTATATAGCTAACAAGAGTCTGAAGCCTCACTCAGGGTAGGACGACTCATTTCCTCATTCGATAATTTTTCCTCTCTAAAAAGGTCCTCGAAATCAATGGACGTGACTAGCTGCCGTATAGTTGTTGCTATGAGAAATATTCACAGGGAAACAGCAGCTTCAACATCGTCACAGATTAGCCAATCAACAAAGATTAAACTGCTAGTGAGATTGACAGCCTAGCCAGACGTATAAATATAAGTGTGGTAGGGGACTAAGGCAACTATATATGCAGTGTAAGTGCATTAGCAATTGAACAGGAAGCGTGAAGGAGGAAGGGAGATATTTCGTCCCCTGTGACACAACATACAACACCGGCGGCTCGCGAAAATATAAAATCTATCTATTTATTGATTACATTGATCATGAAGACAAACATTTTTAGGCGACTTTAAAAATGAGGTTCTCAGTTTTACCTATGTGGATGTATGTACGTTTATGCGCAAATATCTCGCGATTAGCTGAACCGATTTCGTTGCGGTTTTTTACACTACGCAAGTGTTAAGTTTATTTGTCTTCCATTTACTTATTTAAGTGTTTTTTACACTTAGGAGAAGGTTTTAGTATAATAATTAATAAGGTTATTCATTCATATATTCTTATTAAATAAACAGTAAAATTATAATCTTAATTCTTCTTATCAAGAAGAAAAAGTGACTGAATCAAATTAAACGAAAATTTCAACAAAAACAGACAAAAAACAACACATGGAAGCTAACTTCCAACCTATTACTCTCATTAATGAATAGTTTATAAGTGTCTATTTTATGTTGCATAGTATTTTTAGAAGTCGATTATTAAACTGACGTTTTTTTGAATGAAGTAATGATTTACGATTTAAAGTACCTAGGTATGCTACGTAAGATTCGGAAAGATACGTCATGAGGTGTCGACCTTGTCTCGAAACCAATGTTATACCGATACTCTTTGTTTCTTTTCGCAAAGAATTTATCGTCATACCAACCGAAATTGGCATGTGGACGAACTTCCAATTCAAGATAATTGCTTTTTTGTTTAAAAAAATGTTGTAGTTATTTTTTCTTTTTTTTTCTTTCTTTAACATCAGTGGCTTGTCCATTAATCAGTGTAACTGATTTAAGACTCGGTTCATTGAACAACACTTATTAGTATTAGTACCATAATAATTGAGAGTGCGCAATTTCTTAAACATAACGTGATTGGTTCAATCAACTGACAGATGAGGTTGACTGACATTATTTTACATGGAAAAATGTGTCATATACCTTAGTCCATAACATTTAAATAATAAAGAACTGTCTCGTTGGCCAAGTGCCGACAAGGGGTCTCGGGTTAGATTCCCGGGTCGGGCAAAGTATTAATGGGTGTTTAAAAAAAAATCTCAGTAGAAGCACGGAATCTGGAATTGTGTGGTTACTGCCCGGTATATGGCAATAGGCTCACCCCTTATTACTGAGTGAGTAAAGTGGGTGTTATATTGTACAGTGGCATTAAGTGTCGTAAAGCGCACCTCTGCCTACTCCTTCGGGGATAAAGGCGTGATGTTCTGTTATCAGTCAGTTATACAGAATTCCTTACGAATTATATTCCCCCAAAAATATAAGTACCTATTACATAAATCAGATTAGCTGCTAGTTCAAAAGAGATCATTATGAAAACACAATAAGCAATATCAGGATCCCAATTACCAAAATATCACAAAAAAAATACAACAACATGAAAAAAAGGAAGCAGGCTCGGCCGATACAAGTAGAAACAATAAACAAGAAATAGATATCAGAGTGCAGTGGAGACTGACAGAGAAAACAATGGTTCTCAGGCAGTAATGTGTAAACAAAACAATGTCAATACACCCTGAACAGTGAGCTGTGTAGTAGTGTTGTAAACATGTTGTATTAGGTGTAAACTTACATATTGTATTGTGTGTTGTTTACAATTATTGATAGAATTAAGTTTATTATTATGTAGTTTTACAGAACTGACTGTTTTACAGTCGAGTGATATCCTATTTGTAGGTCAAATAAAAGTATGATATAGTTTCTCAATTTTGATATTAAGTTGAAGACTGTGGAATGGTGTCCAGTAATGCATTATAAGCAGTTACTGAACTAGTTTTGAGTACCCTGTTCTTGGGTTAGATCAGGTTTTAAAGTATTCGGTCGCGAAATGCTGCTCATGTATATGAGCCTCTAGCGTGGCTTGAAACCGGTCGAGTTATAGTAGGTAAAATATTATATGCGTTCTAATCTTGAAGGAGTAGGTAGAGGTGCACACAACATACTATTCCATTTTTCAGTTATCTAATGAGTCTTAAGTAATATGCAGCTGTAGCCAAATGCCATTTAGCGCTTGTCTACTTGTAGAGCAAAAGGTACATAAGGAATTGACGTATATTTTGACACTTGTCAGTGTCATCAACATTCATTTAGTTTTCTACTCTCTCTGTAGACAAGCGCTAAAGTGGCGTTTGGCTAAAGGCAATGTTTACATAGTTTATGGAGTGAGTCTAATGCCTAACACAGATTTATATAGTACTAATGTCTAATATAGCCAATTACCTTATTTATAGGATTATTTTGATTATTATTAGCCTTATGCGATTGCATCACAATTACATTTAAATTGCGAGTAGAGCATAACCATGTAATATCAATTGTTCTCCAATTAGTCAATTTTGCATAGCTTCGGATTTATAGCATATTAATAGCATTTTCATTAAACAAATCTTACATTGATTTGTTAAAAGGAGTATATTTAAAAGCATAATTAACCATTGAAAGTGATTATAAAGACAGCTTCACAGTATTTGACAGAATATACTGAAAGAAGCTCTACTAGTTTCTAGCCACAGAGGGGGTCTTCCTCATGAGCAGTGCGCGCGGCCGCAGTGATGTCGCGCAGCCTACTCGAAACTAGTAGAGCTTTCCTCAGTGCATTCACGTGAGCAGCCCGCGATTTTTAGTTAATTTAGTATGTCTCGATAGTTATTATTAAAAACAGTTAACCAAGTAATTCAATAATCACACTAATATTATAAATCTGAAAGTTTCTTTGATTGGATGTTTGTCTGGCAATCACGCTGAAGCTTCTGAATGGATTTTAATGAAATTTGGTATACAGGCAGGGTATGGGCTGGCCTAGTTGATAGAATCTTATCCGGATTAAATGCTCCCATGGGATAAAAGAGGAATCAAATACTATGCGGATGAAGTTGCAGGCATAAGCTAGTAAATTATATACCTTTAGATTATTTACCTTTTTATAACAAATGTTTATATAATTCAACAATTAATGGGGGACAGGAGCTCATACTAAGCTGAGCCTGATTATATACATATATGTATGATTTTCAGGATTTTTTCTGTCTTAAGAACGTTCAACTAATAATTATAATAACAAATACAATAAAAAACGAATTAGTGAAATCGGTCAAAGGGAAAAAGGGATTCATTTACTATAAGTATATACATACAAATATATACCTTTCCTTATAAGTTTATCAGTAGATATAAGTGAATGAGGAAGTTATATTAACTCATACTGCTACCTTGACTTTTTGCAGCTTCATTAAAGTATGCTTCTGATGTTCACATTTTATTATTGCTACAAGACTACTCATAAATAAGGACAATTGAAAAGATTTCTTCTTATTTTCATAATTAAATGATATTCAACCTCTCTTTGCTATTCTTTTTTTGTGTTTCAAGAATACAGTATAATAAAAATATATCTAGCCAGCTATATATTATTATATAGCTATAGGATAATGATAAAATACTTGTAGCTGGTTCAACAATACAGATTTTATTTTAAATTATTTAGTCTTCTAAAACATTCTATAAAAATAGTTAACTGTAATTTAAAAAAAATTCAAATTCAAGCTTTAAAAATTCAAAAAAATACTTTGAGATAATATTGGAAGATAACATCAAAATATTATGTGCTTAAATTATGCAAGAATATGTAATGAATTTATTGAAAACCTGTTAGTATCATTGTCATTGACCATAGCTTACTTTTAGTGGGGCATAAACAAGGCATACAGTATTTTATTTTGTAGAAAAAAAAAACTTGTAAGTGTTTAGTTAGTTTCATTTTTATTACAGGTCTACAGGAACTAGGATCTAGATATCAATTTAAAATCTTGAAAAGCAAAAACACATTAAATGTTAGAATCTTGCTTTGATCTCATCCTATTAATATTTTTATCTAACAGGATTTTTATTATTATTTTATCTAACAAAATAAATTTGTATGTTTAATATACATATTATTTTAATTAGTTATGTTGTTTCACAAAAACGAATTGTCGTATTTTATAATGTACAACAAGTTTTATTGATAATTACTGTAACACGAAAAACAGTTTTAAATAGTAGTTCGTATGCCAAACGCATGCGCCGGCTAACAGCCACAGAGAATGATGACTTGGTAAATCTAAAAATAACAAACACATGGTCGAAACAAAAAACTATCGTAAGTAAACATAATACTCACGGCCATCTGTGAAGGTGTCTGTGGCGTCCAATGGGATGACCAGCAACGGGAATATGCCACTCAGACCGACCAGGACCGAAGCCAGTCCAGAAAACAGCCATGGATGCTCGTCTAGTTGATCCACAAAACTGTACATGTATTCTGGTAAAAAGCCCGACAACGCCATTGCGTCTTCGCGCGATTGATTTAAATCGAATAGAATAAAATTAAGTTCTTTTTTCAAAACTCACAAAGCAACTATTTTTTTAACGTTATAAGTTGCCTGTACTACCGATACATCATCGAAACAACCGGCGGATACTGTTTCGCGCGATGAACTGAATATAATCAGTATCAGTACACTGGAGATGTTCGCATTTCCGAGTTCTCCGAGATAAAGCAAGATGCCCGAGACCAGACGAACTAATCTACACTGAGACTCAGAACGTCCGACCGATATTGTCCTTATCTTTGTATGATATTAGAACAAAGACTATTAAGTCACCGATCTTTCACAAAAATAAATTATTTTTCGTTATTTTGCGCACTAGAAATATTTTACGAATATCATTGACACCCCGCCAAAGATCATTACAAAACAATGCGATGAAAGGACGATGCGATGAACGAATATATCAGAGCGACTGTCATAAACAAGCAACTATCAGCTGTCAGTTCGACACATGACAGATAAGATTACATGAATGACAGTATTACCAGAGGTAAAAATATTCCTACCAAATATAAATGCATAGTAAAATTTTTGGTAGGTATTGATATTATTTAGTTATTTTAGTTTTAATTTGAATTTAATTTTTATCTGAGACTTCGAGAGCTTTAGAAAATAAGTCAAATTCGTATTGCAATATTTGAGGCAGCTTAATTCAAACCTACACAAAACACATTTAATAAATACGATAATTAATTATTAAATCAAGAATAATTATAAGATAAACAAATTTCTTAGAGCTTATGAAAAACAAAAGTAATAACTACTGTTATTACTATTCTTCTCATAATTATTCTTCTGAAAATTATTTATTATTCTCTAATATTAATAACGTTGAAATGAATCGGTCTAATTATTTGGAAACAATCCAAAAGTAGATAAAACGACTGCAAAAACTTTGATATTAAGTAACAACAATGAGTGAACGACCTACTAATTATCGTAAAAAGCTAATAAAACTAATAAAATTGATATGTATTTAAAAGCATTCTTGGGTAATCACGGAATCAATTTCTAGATTTTGCGAAGTGGGTGCCTCAGTCTAAATAGCGTAGACATGTATTGAATCAGTCGTTAGATGATGTTAGACGGTCTCGCATCTACCGTAGTTACTGTGACACGATTGCAATACGAATCTTCTTGGCAGCCGCACCGTCTCACTGCGCCCAGTTGAAGCAAAATGCCGTACTTATTTTGGCCTGCCAATTTAAATATCTGACAGCATATAGCATCTGCTACAATATAACTTTACAGAGCGGTTCGCATTTGTACCGGACGGTTAAGGCGGATAGACAGGCGACATGACGGGGAACTTGTTGAGTTAACCAGTTCAAACTTCGTTTACGGAGTTTTCGCGCCAATCCGATCTTTGTGTGATTTGAAAAGGATCAGTCAGATCAGTGTAAAGGACTTTTGATTTTGTGGAAAGTTAATTGGATTAGCCACCATGGATTCATGGGGAATTTTGAATGTGGACAGCGCTGCGATGGCGATCACAAGGGATGATTTGGGATCCAGCTTTCGCCGGAAGCAAATGATGGTAATAATATGTTTTTGTTAGTCTACTTTTATCCTAATCTATGGGAATGTATCCATTCCATAGCTTTTTCCAACGCAAACACAATGGTATTTAGGGAGATAATCACAGAAATATTATTATTTATCAACATAAACGTGGAAAACTAGATAGGTAAATAAAAGAAAGAAGATTTGAACTCTTATTTTCTTCCTATTTAATTGAGTCGAGTAACTAAAGATGACACACAGAAACAGTTTTAAATAATCCGTCAGGGTTTCAGTCAGTGATTCATTAGGATGTAATTAGATGATCTCGTGTAAAAGCTTTCAAGATAATTAATACACGATGTTCTAAATTATTCAGTCACATTTCCTGATGTGTATAGGCATGGTTGAATTTGAATCATTATTAATTCACGAGAGGTACTTTCGATAAATATATTATTATTATGTGCAAATACCCAGATAAACCAATAATAGGCGATTGTCCTATATTTTCTACAATATAAATATTATTAAATAGGATTAACTGCAACCAGCTATGCAAAGCAGGTAAAAGCATTCTTTTAACTTCAATAGTGATTGAAGTTAAAAGATAAGTGTGTCGAACAAGGGATTATGGCAAACGTCTCTCAAAAGAGAGGCCTCTGTTTTCAGTTATCTATACAAAGAACCTGAAAATATTTCAGTCATTCACATCCTAAGAATTCTTGTAGATATGCAAGAGATTTTTTAGGCCACATTAAATATGACAGATGTTTGATGTTTGCTCATGTCTTATATTACGAGAAAATATCAATATCTAAGCTATGTTGTCCGACTGAGATTGAAAACAAAATGAATAGTTCCAAAAACCTATTTGTTTTCGACAGAAATCGTTCATATCTATTGAAAAATATTTTTATGATGCTCAGGAATTTGTAATTTTTGAAATACTGGTTGAACTTATTGATTAATGCAAGTACTATCAAGTCTTACGTCATAAAAAGCTAAGTACCTACCTAGATGAAGACGTTGCTATTTCTATTATGCTAATCACACTAATATTATAAATGTGAAAGTTTCTTTGTTTGGAAGTTTGTCCGTCAATCACGCAGAACGAATTTTGATAAAATTTGGTATACAGGCATTGCACAGGGCTGAATTAGGTGATAGGATTTTTATCCCGATTAAATGCTCCCATGGGATAAAACAGGAATTATATTCTACGGGAGCGAAGTCGCGGGCAATAGCTAGTTTACACTAATAAAGCTTAGCTTTCTACAAACCTCAAATGTGCATATAGGTAAGTACTCAAACTAAAACAATTTTTGCGTGCATCGTAAATCAACGCCTTAGTCACCGTCGGTTAGGTACGCATCGAGAACTTTAGGAAGACGGTTTATTAATAGACTGTACAGTTTTTTCATTACCATGCTCGTTACATGACATAATTCCCTGTGAGATATCACTTTCATACTCTGTCTAGACTATTTTTTTTTAAGGGGGAAAATCATCGAATGACTGCTCCCGCCTGGGTGAGGCGGGAGGGAGTGTCAGACTCTTACTGACTAAAAACCACCCCGTTCCTTCTTCTGCACGTCGAGCCGGAGCCCCGGTTACCCGTTAGGTTCTCCGAGGCTTTGTTTCGTATTTTGTTTGTTTTAACTTGGTTAACAATTTCGAGTTAGGTAGTGACTTGGACTCAGGAGTAATATAAAGAAAAGTTGACTCAGCATTATCAGTACGACTATGAACAGTTAAAACAGAGAGCAAGATTATGTTTAGGAGGCATATGACACAATTTTTAGCCTCTCCCTGTCTTCATCCGAAGGTCTTTCCTCTCTGACATTTTGTTACAACCTCCTGATTCATGATTGTGTTTCAATCCAGAACATTTTAATTCATGACTCGTTTGATCACGACTTTCAATTTAATCTTAGCATAATCATAATTTTCCATGTTTTAATGATGTATTGCAGTGCTGTTTGAAGTCTTAAATAGTCTTAAACACGAAACGAATCGAAAATATATAATAATATATCTTCGAGTAACACGTGGCTCCATTAGTGAGTTATCTTAATAGTGTTCATGTATCTTTGGCTAAGAATGGGGCATTGACGAATTGTAGTGCAATTATTTTGAATTCATATGTTTGGAAGTGAGTTAAATAGCTCTAAATTCACCTAACGCTGTAAGAAATTGAAAGAGGAATAGGCGAAAACGTAAGCAAATTCGTAATTGCTAAAAGAAGAGAAATATGATATGGTTTTTGTTCTCGATTGGGCACATAGACGATAACATTTCAAGTATTAATTTATGGTTTTCATAGTAAGTTAAGTAGTTCTGTTCTGCCACGTTCCTGCGTGTAGGGGAATGACCTATCTGAGAGTATTAATATAACTTAATCACTAAGTACCTACTATGCACTAGGTCGGCCTGTTGACATCCTATAATATCTAAAAATAAGTCGCTGTGGCAATGACAGGCGATTGATTTGTGCCAAACAATTACTTGTTCTGATTATGAGCAGGCAATAAGTCGTGTGCTACAAAATCGATAAATAAGATTTATTATTGCAATATGGAAGAGGAAGACTATTCTGTTAATGAATCTAGTAAAGTAGATGAAGAATCGCAAACCGATATTACTTATACTCTTAAAGCTCCACCAAGGAGGAAGGTAATGTTTCGGCCATAAACAAAATAAAAATGTGTATTGGTTGTTTTTCAATTTCGAACGTTTTGTTTTCTTTTTCTTCATCAAATCCCATTATTGTGTGCCAGTTTTTGCATTCGTTAGATGTTCCTCTTTGAGATTTCATTAATTAATGTTTTTATATTCATCCATTCATTACTACGAGTTGGTGTCACCATTGAATTTAAGTATCAAAGTGTTCGCAGAGACTAATTCTAAATCTGGAGTAAAACATCTGTTCGTTGCTAAATGTACCGATTAGGGTTGGCGCCACGTCCATTACACCTTTGGCTTTAAGACGTCATAGCATTGACGTATCAACAGATTTGCATCGCATATTTAGAGCTTAAAAATACGTTTTGTGGATGCATTCCTTCTGTTAAAGACATTTCGCTTGTAACCACGAAGGATACAAAGTGTATCAGAATATGTGTCCAAATCAAATTTTGCATTTGATTTTGCTTATTTCTATTAAGATTTGGCCATCAAGAATAAAATGAACATCACAAAAAAAAAATTGAAAATCGAACGTGCACATGATTCTGCAACGTGACATTTCAAATTAGGAATGTATGCTATGCACTGTCGCTAGATTCAGATCTTACCAATGCATTGTCGCCAGATTCACAACCAAACTTCAATCTTAACTGCTCATTAGTAAATGTGGTATTTGTATGTAGCGTTATTATTTTTCGTAGAGAACGTTCGCAACAACGAATAGTAAAGCACAGATTCTAAATTTAATTAGAGAAGTAATAATGCACTAGAATGAGTTCTTCAAGCCAATTTAGTTCGTAAATGATTTTAAGAACAATTATTTTTTACGTAAACATTTGGACATCTGAGTCACACAGTCCAGGAAATACCGTCCTGTTTGCCAAGTTATGTCTGCGGCACAGACGTACAGACAAACGGTGTAAGTGTATGTACATAACATATATGTACAGGTATCTGGCCGACATCATTATTGTCGATTGATGAAGTGACAATAAAATATAAAGTGTTGATTAATTTTATGTTTTAGTTTGATAGAAGTAAATAAGACTTAATCTTGTATTTATGAAATGTAATCATGAAGTCGGTTTAAACTACAATTACGAACTACAACTGCTCCATATTTTTGCATCACTGCATCTAATAGAAATTACACTCCTTTTACTCGTATTCGCTCAGATTCATATGTTTCCTACAGCTATGTAGATTCAAACGTGGACAACGATATGGCATTTGACGCACTTGGCTTCAAAACACACATGTTTAGTAGTAGAAAACCAAATTGAAATATTCATTGACCTAACTATTTATAGGATTTGCGGGTGAGGAAAATTAAATGAGGAATATTTAATGTTAACCACATGAAACAGCTAACAAACTCCCAACCTTTATTGCAACCTCAAAGAGATTAATTCGGATTTCGCGGCTGAAAACTTTCAAACTTCCCGCTTCGACAAATTTTATGCAAAATATAAAAATCAAATATAAAATGCTGTCGTCATTAATTTTAAAATTAGCATAACCACACAGCTGTACGCATTTCTCCAGTCATATCGTGACATTTTATATAAAAGAGTAAATAATGTTGGAATTACTGAAATATTTCTGTTTACACGCGCACTTTCGTCCAATCCCGGATGGTTCCAAAATTAACCTGAGCGTTCCATTTAGGCGCTCGAGTCGAAGTTCGGCGTGTCAAGTAAATCTGGAAATAATTCGCTAGAAAAACGTATATTTTAATGTATATTTTGTGGTTTTTATAAGTGTTTTGTAAATAAATTCGTCATGGATATTCCGACTGATGTTTGGGGGCAGTTAGCTTTGGAAGCCAGTCAAGTTTACTTGACTGAGGGCGGGCAAGTCAGGAGTCCGTTCGCTAACACGGTAATGTTATGTAAATGTGTGCTTGTTATTGTTTAGATTGTTTATAAGACTTTAGAGACTACATCAATACATATTTATCACTAAATAAATAATGATGTAGTCACACCACAGGTTTTCAAGTACCTATTTCTAAATGAGTGATATTTTTATCAATAATTATAAGCAGTCACATTACTAAGTAGTCTATTGTGATAAATACTGTAGTTGTGTTCCGTATCATTTATTTTTAATAGTTCTGTGCCAATATGCAGTCCAAGCTCTTGCCACAAGTGAGTGATTAATAGTTAGTCATGAAAATAACCTCATGTGCTTACACTTTTGTTTCAGACTATAGAAAAGCTTCCAGACAAAGTATTATTGAATATATTTTCGTATCTAACACATCGAGAAATATGTCGAATGGCAACGGTATGCAAAAGATGGCGAATGGTCGCTTACGATACAAAACTGTGGACTCACGTGAGTTTACGACCTGAGATATCAGGATTACATGTTGGTAAGTACACATGAACTATTCATAGAGCACTTTTCAATCATTCCCTCTAGACTAGCCTAAAAATAGATTTACGTAAAATATAAAAGCTACCAAATCCGACCCTATTTCATTACGTTGCAACCCTATACCTATCATCTGTGATGACATTGCATTTAAGGTTCCTGAACTCGTCAACAGATGGCATTGGAGTTATAATTACATAAATAATTTCTTCACGGTGTCAAACCAATGAGAATATAAACAGAGATTAATGAAGCCATGCCCATAAAGATTATGCATGGTTTATGTAGCGTATGTAATATTTTTCAGGGTCACTGGAGTCTCTCCTAGCGCTAATATCGATCAGGTTTGGTCCTTCACTGCGCTACATCGAGCTGCCGATAGAACTGATCACTCACACGGTGCTCCACGAGCTGGCTGCTAAATGCCCTAACTTGACACATATGCTGCTGGATTTTAGTACTGGTACGTACTGATAATAGTTCAAGCATGAATCTCACCTTATTCCGTTGGTTTTTATGGAATAAAGTGTCAAACGAGCAGATTACGGATTACCCGACCGCGTTCGGCGCTTTGATGGGCTGGTTCGCCGAACGTCGAACATAAAAACTTTTACGTAAGTACTTACGTACGCGTAATAAGCCCTCAAAGGCCTTAGTACGAGTTTGTTTTACGTTTAAAGTATTCGAAACGAGTACGCGTTCGGCGCTCTGATTGGCCGGCGCCAATAAACCAACCAACCAGGAGTGCCGAACGAGTTTCGAATACTTTAAACGTAAAACAAACTCGTATTAAGGCCTTTGATTGCAAGCAATCAGGCCGTCTATGGACAGCCACAATACCATGAGTTGCCGAATTTTTTGGATTTGTAAAAAACACATGTTGATTGTTGTTGTTGATTAACAAACTGCTTAAATTTTGATAAAATGTTATGTAGAAGGTACCAAGTTTCATTTAATTCGCTTTAGTAGTTTTAATGTATTCAGACTAAAAGTGTAGGAAAACTTACGCCGTATAAATGCTCTGAACACGTAGCAGAAATTAACCAGCAGTACAAAACAAACTTTAATTCATTATATTCTTTCTTCTACTTCCAGCTATGCAGCTGCACGACTTCTCCGAGATGCAGGCGTTCCCCACGAAGCTGCGGTACCTGTGCATCTGTCTGTCCGAGGTCATCTTCATGGAGGGTTTCATGAGGAAGATATACAACTTCATCAACGGCCTTGAGATCCTGCATCTTATTGGTGAGTTGAAACCTGAGTGCCAAGCACGAATAACTATCACATTCGCGCTCTATTTATTTATTTATTCGCTGATTGGCCGGCTTCAGTGAACCAACCAATCAGGAGATCCGAACGCGCTCGAAGTCGATATGAATGCGATAGTTGCTTGGCACTCTGATCGAAAATGAAGACTGCTCGTAGTGGTCGTGTTCAGAACTAAATAGGTATTCTTATTTTAAAAATTGGTCTGTCGAGCAAGCGCGACTGCTGAACAAGAAGACTGGGTTCGACCGGGCACATAACAGATTAATTAGGTAAATAGTAAATGACTGAATATCTTTTTGGATTTCAAAAATAACTCAGTGATAGCACGGTTTGAAATTATGCGCGGTATTATGGCAATGGACTTTACCCCTATAGGAACAAATGCTATTCTAGAAGTAGTTCTCAATTTCTATTGGATCCTGTTCCATCTCAATAATAATTTGCGCTAAAACCTCATTGAGAAGACCATATAAACATAGCTATATTCATCTCTTTCAGGCACATATGAGAAGGTGGAGGAAGAAGAGGAGGAAATATACGAGGTTATCAACGTGCATAAGCTGAAGTCTGCGACTCCCAACCTGCGCGTCATCAACCTGTACGGTATAAACTTCGTCGACGACTCGCATATTGACGCCTTCAGTTCTAATTGTATACAGGTAACTATAGAAAATGCTTAATTATAACGTTACTTTTCCGGTCCGAAGTGATACCACGGCGTCACAGAAAACCGACGTGAAACAACACTTGCATTGTGTTTTCGTGTGAGTGAGATCCGGAGGCCCAATTACTCCCCTCCCCCAATCCCTGAATCCTCAAATTCCTAATCCCCAAAAGGCCGGTACCGCACTTATAACGCCTCTAGTGTTTCGGGTGTCCATGGGCGGCGCCGATTGCTTACCATCAGGTGTTCAGTCTGCTCGTTTACCAGCTTATCCCATAAAAATAAAGTAAAACTAACTTTTTGATATTTTCCGTAAAAAGTAGAACAAATAGACTTCGGTCGGTACGGTATGAAGCTGGTTTGGTATACTTACATATACGTAGAATGTCCCAATGCCAATAACATAATATTATTTCTGTTCACAGCTCGAGTGCCTGGCTGTGAACTTCTGCAACAAAGTGACAGGGTCCACCATGAAGACCTTGTTCCAACGCTCCAGGAGACTCACCTGCCTGCTCATGAACGGATGCAGTATGTATCATTATTAATAATATCTATTTCTGGAATAGACAACAAATATTTGTTGGTAATACGTCAAGTCTTAAAAAACTGTTTACGAATCTCAGGTCTCCAATCCGAGTACGTAATGCAAGTGGAATGGGAGAAGTCTTCGATCCAGGAGCTGGACGTAACTGCCACGGACCTGTCGACGGAGTGTCTGATAGACATGTTGACCAGGATTCAGAACTTGAGGTTCCTCAGCGCTGGACAGATTAACGGCTTCAATGACTCCGTGCTGAAAGCCTGGATGGAGGCTGGTACTGCTAGGTAAGCGTGGTGCTAGTACTCTTTTGTAAAAGGGCGTAGCAACGTATTATAAGATTTTTATTTTTTGGTATTTTTTCTTTGTCGCGATAGATAGTGAGTTTGTTTTTATAATCTGTTGCATATTTTTCAACGTTCAGCATGCTTGGATACCGTTGGTGTTCAGGGCCCTACCTATTTTCATCTACTTACTTGTACCTATTAGAATGTTAAAATGAAAAGTATAGACTGTCTTATGTTTTTAATGTTTTTTTTAAACAAATGGACAGAACCGAAACAAAATTGTTTGCTAATAAGTCGCTAACTGTATCTACTTGCATCTATTTACCTATTTGTGTAGGTACTCTAAGTGACTGTAAATGAAATATAGGTAGACACTAGTTTATTAAGTACCTAGTACTAATTTTTTACCTGGTTATCAGAAACCTGGTGGGCCTGGACGTGGACTCGTCCGACAACCTGACGGACGAGGCGCTGCACCGGTTCCTGTCGCGGCACGGCAACCAGCTGCACGGACTCGTCCTCAGCGGGATGCCACACATCACCGACCAGCTCTGGCAGAGCGTGCTGCAACTGCTTGTCAATGCCAAGTACGGTTATAAGTATTTTAACTTAACCTCGGGTGTTTGGACAAATCACTTTTCCGTGTCATTTTCGTTATTCTTTACTTTTAATTAGGTTTAATGATTTATAAACGGTTACTTTTATCAATGGTAATTTAAAATCTCAAGCACTTGGTTTGCCGAAACTCAGATCTGAGCAAGGCACAATGAATTTATTAGTATGAATTTAATTTAATTAAAACGTTCTTAACATGTAGGTAGGTTGTAGATTTCTTAATGGGTAGGCTGAATTTGTATTTCTGAGCCTAACAATTCACTATGAATTGTCGTATTAAATTTTAGTAGGTGAACTTACAATTGTAAGCGTAGGACCAAGAATTGGTCCTTGAGGCAGCCCGTGCTCGTCCGGTAACTAAGTTCCATTATTTAGCTCGCTGCATTCTATGGTCAGTCACCTCAAACAATTAGTACTACGCAGCAGTAAATAAGCACTTATTTACATTTGTTTCGTAAACTGTAAAGCCCATCTTAACTGTAGTTTCGTAAAGCGATTAGCGTTTAAATGTTAACGAGTTACTTTGAATATTACGACAAGTTTACTGCTTAGGTAGTTTCTATGTATAGGTATTTTAAGTGGAATCGAGGGACTAAACTGATATTAAATTCGATTTCAAATATAACATTGGTGATAGGTCCGACAAATAATCTTTAGAAATAAAAAACCAGTGAAATGAATATATTAACTAAAAATTAAAGCTCACCTTGACAAAGTCGATAAGATTTTCATTTTTTCCTTTTATTTTTGCTTTCCGTGTATTGTGTTTATGCCTAGTGTTTTTTCTGTTCTTTCTTTTAATTAAATCTAACATCTTATTTCAGGATCCTTATTATGGGCACACAAGAACGTCTTGGAGTGAACATTCACGTCGATCAAGTAAGTCTTACTAAGTCATTGTGAAAGAAACCCTATCATAAAAATATTACTGGTGAATTTAGATTAATAATACCTTATATTACAGCTGATGGACGGCATAGCAAACAGTTGTCCTAACTTGGAGCGTCTGGAACTACGTTGGGATCCAGAAAACTTGCGTTTTAGTGACAAGAGTCAAAAGGCTATTGATATTCTGCGCGTCAAATGCTTGAAACTCAAATGTTTAGTGCTCAGGTAAATATTTTTCATATAGACTAACTATTGGGTGTATAATGAGAATGTAGAGAGTTAATTTCATTATTACTCGTAGTATAATCGAAAGATAAGCTGGTTTTAATGTTGCTTTTTTGGGTAACAGGAATCAAATCTTATCACAAGGATACAATTTTCTTTTATAACTCCTTCCAACATTTCTTCGCAGCGACGGTCGTTACTACGAAATCGTAAAGGCGAACTTCGAGCGAGCTGACCGTACGACCGTGGTCCGCACATCAACCAATTGCCGCGTCTCCAACTACTACCTCCTGTCCAATTACAAGGATCTTATATTCAACTAAAGCTTCCGATTGTATATGTCCTGTATTTATAACGTTATTGTTTTAAATAAATGTCTGTAAACATAGTTAAGCTGTTAGATTATTTATTTAGCGACCACTTCTAGTAATAGCAGTATAAAAATGCACGTTGGAAGTATAGTGCTATTGTTTTTTGCGTAGGCGTTCCGCAGGGTAGTATTATTGGTCCTTCGTCAAGTTACATATTAACTGTTAAGCTTTTTTTTCAAATATATTATATCATAGGGGGAATAAACTAACAAAAAGAGAAATAAAACTGCTTTTAGCCTGTCAGAGCATTTTGTTATTTTAATAAAACAGGATTATAAAATTTATAATTTGAGGTGATAAGCAACATATTACTATATAGACATTTTTTCATAATTTAGGTATATGTACTCACCTTGGAAGTTTCAATGACGACTAGGTTCCACAAGTCAATGAAATACGTAAACAATACAATTTTATTTCGATAGACAAAGTTCATTGAATTATTGACTTTTAATTAATTCTGTAGATTTGAGTCAACATTGGATAGACCTATAGTGAATTAATGACAGATGAATGTTTCTAAGCTGGTGTCCGAGTAGTAAATATTACTAATATAATGTTTCGCCTTTTAATCCTTGAAAGGGTAGACAATGTACTTAAATCTCTATGTACACACAATACACGGTAACACCGAATCTTCACAATATTTTCTATCTCCAACAAAGTCAATAATATCTGACAAAGTAACAAACCTATTGTTTCTAAGCAGTAACTTGGAAAAAATACTTACTTTTTCTTTAGAAAACCTAATGCTAGGCACACACACGTACCTAATGCTACAAAGTTCAACAGTAAGGTCAACGACTTCTGTATGAGGTCAGCCACAAACTCCTGCGCCGATGTTTTGATTTTTTATCATTCGTAGCATAATGACGTTTTTGTATTAATTTGTTTAAGTCTGATAGCTAATCAAACAAATTATACTTGAGGTAAAAGAAAAATATATAATATAAGTACATACACGATTATCGGTAAAACATTAAATAGCTCGTAGGTTTGTATTATTATTTCATATTGAACCTAAAACATCTTGGTCGACAGCCGCACTTGCGACCACTGCAACACTGATTTAACTTTTAACCGGCTGATCCTGAAGTTATTAGAGTGGACCTACATTCAACAGTGGTTTTTTTTCTTTTTGGCAACCAAGTGTCCAATACGGTGTTGTCAACTATACTGCCAGTGTCGAATGGTGCAACAATGGCTGTCTTGTGGCTGATAATAACATAATCAGTGATAACGTATGGGGACAGACTTGTTACGTCATTGAGAGTAGGACCAATAAGGTGACAGGACAGCAAGAAACAAAATCGGTATGATTTATAGTCTTCAGCTTTTAATAAGGCATTCGGATTCACTTCATATTACGTGCACCCTGGTTCAAGCGGTTGTATCTTGTAAATATCAGTATCTGTCATAAATACGAATTCTGAGGGCTTAGTACAAGTTTCTTTTTCGTTTGGAGTAATCGAAACGAGTACGCGTTCGGCGCTGTGATTGGCCGGCGCCAATGAACCAACCAATCAGAGCGACGAACGCGTACTCGTTACGATTACTTTAAACACAAAAGAAACTCATACTAAGGCGCCTATGTACAAATAGAAAAACACGCTTACTACTAAAATAATAGTTTATTTACATTTTATTATGGGAAAAATTACTATTTTTATATTTTTCATTTAAGTTAACCTCCAAATATTATAAGCTATTTCTAAATACCTTAACTATTTACAAATAGCTTCATTTTTTCGTCTAATATCTTCAAATACATTTCCAATATTAGAATTTTATCGAGTACTTGCAATTTGAAAGTCTGGATCGTGTACATTACAGGAGACATCGACAAAAGTAAGCATCGAGTTACCACTAAGCTTATACTAAATAACCTCACACAGCATATTGAGAAAAACCATGCATCACAAGACAATTTAAACCTTAAATCACAGGTATATCGATCTGATTTAATATAATAAAAAAAAAACAATAACTTACTATACAAATCGAAAAAATACCACTCAAATTATTCGGTTTCCAAACTGATACGAGTTTAATCTAAGTGGTACGCGTCCTCAACTCTCAGTCTCGCGCGAGTCATCTAACAGGGTCCCCCAGTAGCAGCTCGGGGTCCTCCTCGAGCAGTAAGTTCTGGTTGTTGGTGTTGTCCTCGTTACCCTCGTTGTCCTTGTTGCCATCTGGCTCTATCTTGTATAGTATGTCGTGGCACAGAGGACACCGGTCCTGTACGTACAACCACTTCCGTAGACACACTCCGTGGAAGTAGTGGTTGCAGCGAGTGATCTTTGCTGAGTGCATCTCCTGATAGCATATTGCACATACATCGTCTAATCTGTTCAACTGGTCCGGTGATGCTTCTCTCAGAGAATTTATCTTATTCACAGCAGTGCGGCGCTTCATGAACACGGACCAGCCTGCTCTCGCCTCGCACCAAATGTTAAAGTAGGCGTGTATGCACATCATCACCGCCCTTATAGCACCTCCGGACTCGAACAATAATATCCACGCACCATTAAAGAACAAAAATATTCCAAAACAGAATTCTATAGTGTTCCCAAACGCTCTTATGTAATACACATAGTCATCGAGTTGCTCCCAGAATGTACTTCGATATGCGTCTATTAAGAACAATGAGTATATCATTAGACTGACGATGACTTTCACTATCACTTCTATGCTGAACGCGCTCACAGCTAGCAGCCATGTGGAGATAGTGTGCTGAGACCACAAGTACACTAACAAAGAGATAGGAAACATTATCAAGAAGGCACACACTCCCAGAGCTCTAATGTGTCTGTGTGTACTTGGATTGTGCGACGCACTCAAGGACATCAGCATAGGATTAACAATGTTGTGCAAAAAGTGTAAGAGAGCAGTAAACAATAAACAAAAGTTCCTACATAGCCGTATAAACCTCTTCTCAGGGTTTAGTGATGTCAATCCTGTCTGTAACGCGAGTATGTAGAACAGGATTGCCGACACTGTTCCTATACTTTTGTCTTCTTCTTCATCAGTTAGTAGAATCCATTGGAAGAAGTTGCCAATATAATGGCAAAAGAATGAGATCACAGAAGTCATGCCGAGCACAGCGGTTATCGTTTCGCATCCAGTTACTAGGAGAGACTTGGTCATCGCAGCTAGTGACTGAACTGCTAGTAATGTGGAAACTTTCAACCCTTCTTCGGCTTCTTCATCATAATTATCCACAAGGAGCATAAGAGCGTGTTCCGCTACTCGTAGTACCCAGAACACCCGTAACACACACGGTACATTCAACCGCATCCACTCCGTCTCGACGAGTGCTGACAGTCCATAGTTGCTGACGAACAGGCGGCCATGTTGGTAGCCTGCGTACACCACATGTATCACGTTGTACGCCGACGACCACAGCACGTACTTCACCAGCAGGAGCGGCAGCAATGCCGAGAACACTGGCGAGTGATGCAGAAGATTCGGAGGAACTGGCAACATCGCTAGGAACGAGGGTGCCATGAAGCTGATGGGTAGCAGCTTCTGTATCGTCGGATGTCGAGGTCCGAGATGGACATACTTGAATATGATAGCCAACAGGAACTGTATAGCATAATTTTGTATGACCAGTATTCCTGGCCCATCTACATCGATGAGATTTTTGATGTTTAAATTTAATACGTCTTCTAATATGCTGGTGGAATGGTGAGGTGAGTTTTCGACTAGTGTTAAGGCCTGCATCTGTTTGATGGCCGACACGTTCGTCCAATAGGACACGAAGACTAGGCCGACTGACGTCAGGTAGAGGTACACGATGATTAGGTGCTTCGTGTAGAGAACAAATATGCAGAGTGCTGACATGCATCCTGAAACAGAACAGAAGGCTTATGTTACAAGTTGGAAAACTTTACAACGTAAACATTTTTTCGTAATTACGCTTTAATTGGTAATTACTTAATTTAAGTAATTGAGAGTGAATTTCAATGTATTTTTTATAGTCACGAGAACCAAGACAGTTGTCTTCTTTTAAGTTGGAAGTAATATTATAGTATATCCTATAAAATTAACCTTAGCATAAAGCCAATTATAAACACAGTAGAGCCCGTTTAATTAAATAATGATTACGTCACGATGTTACCTGTAATTGAGTAGGCCTCAATATAAACAGTATCAGATAAAATATTCAAGTTTATTGAGCATTGAGCATGATCCACTGTGCTACAAAGCGTAGAGGTCATGACCTTACTTAACTAAATGCTTGAATTAACTGTCTAGGATTTTTGTCTACAATTCAACAAATAAAACTGAAGTGCCAAAATGTTTGAATTTCGGAACGACTGCACCATATTGAATATATATTTTTTTGCTTTCGTTATTATTAATTAGAACAAGGTTTGTATGAAACAACACATCGGCAAATCACCGAAAAAGATGGGTTGCTTGGATAAACATATTTGAGGCCGGTTCAATTACGAACATTTTAAAATCATTTAACAAATATTTTTTTATAGATTTAATTCCAGCTCAGTGATTTTTTTTTCATTGAAATAAAGGAAGTTAGTTTATGTGTCAAATAGTTTTCGATACAATGTGAAGGCCGTGGTTACGACATTTTTGTAAACACGCTGAAGGTTCATCGTCGGTGTCGGTTCTCATGAAAATTATTATGACAAACGTTATTTTTGTTAGAGGCCTGAAAGTTTTAAAAATCTGACCTTGACTTAGAAGTAATTTTTCGTGTACTGGGGCATCGGGATTTCAGTGCCTCCCGTGCAATTAGATTAAAAGAATAGGATATAGAGAAGGTTTTTATTATAGTAAAAAAAGAACATCGACATTATTCTAAAAATAAATATTAACAAGTTATAGAACCAAATGTTTTAAATTGGGGAAGATGAACGTCTGACAGTGACATAGTTTGCGGTCTTGGCATGTCATAAGCAGAAGTGTAAAACGACTGCATTGTA